GGCTGGCCGTGTGCTCCGCGGCTTGGCTCTGCTTTGCCCCCTGTCTTCCTGGACATTGCCAGTTTACTATTTTCAAGCTTTATTTCTAAATTACTGAATGTGAAATAACCATTTACATACCAAGATCTTGACCCTGTACAGTAGGGTAGGTGAGTGATCCAGGCCCCATATAGGCATACATCCATCAATGCTGGAACACCACCTCAATGCTGCAGATGAAAGTGTCTCCTACATTCTGAACAGGGTCCATCATCACTCAACCATAAATTTCAGGCCCTAATAAAGCAAATTAATAGTTGGCAACCACATAGGAAGTAATTCCTTTCATGTTGTACAAACAAGGGTACATAAACCAATGCAATAAGACCTATGGCTGTGCAATCAGGAAATGGTCATATTAAGGTCTCACTGGCTAGTAGGCATGTCGTTGAAAATAGTATCTTTAGTACCGATTTGATACTGGCTACTAATCTGCAATAGTTACCGCATTAGAAACAGTGTTTCCTGGTTAAACAGGCTTTTCCTTTTCACGAGGGGGCAAAACAAGATAACTATTATGCTCAAATAAAGTACCGATCTGTGCAGTGTTTGTGTAGCCAGGTAGATTCCCAGGATACTTTAGAATGAAAGCGCATAATATCAATTAACTTCTGTTGGTATGAGACAAGATTTCAAACTTACATAGAATAGAGCTGGTCCAATACAAAAATATTACATCATCCAATGGCTACATCTAGACTGGCATGATTTTCCAGAAATGCTTAACGGAAAAGTTTTCCGTTAAAAGCATTTTCGGAACAGAGCATCTAGTTTGGCATGGATGCTTTTCCGCAAAAGCACTTTTTGCAGAAAAGCGTCCGTGCCAATCTAGATGCGCTTTTCCGCAAAAAAAAAGCCCCGATCGCCATTTTCGCAAACAGGGCTTTTTTGTGGAAAACAAATCTCAGCTGTCTACTCTGGCCCTTTTGCACAAAAGGGACTTTTGCCCGAATGGGAGCAGCATAGTATTTCCACAAAAAGCACTGATTTCTTACAGTAGGAAGTCAGTGCTCTTGCAGAAATTCAAGTGGCCAGTGTAGACAGCTGGCAAGTTTTTCCAAAAAGTGGCTGATTTTCCGGAAAAACTGGCCAGTCTAGACACAGCCAGCATGTCTAACATACTGAGCTAGCTGACTACGTTGGTTTCGTATTGAGGTCTTGTGTTAGAAACCAGTTTTGCAAGTCATGCTGACATAACTGAACTATATTATAAATCTCTAAAACACACCCAGAATATTTAGGGCACACTGAGAAAGCATGTAATATGTGCTCAAGTCTTTGCACTGTCTACTTCAGTACAGGCAGTCCCCGGGTTACGTACAAGATAGGGACTGTAGGTTTGTTCTTAAGTTGAATCTGTATGTAAGTCGGAACTGGCGTCCAGATTCAGCGGCTGCTGAAACTGACCACCAGTTCTGACTTACATACAGAATTAACTTAAGAACCCCAGGCGTCCCCAAGTCAGCTGCTGCTGAAACTGATCAGCAGCTGATTCCAGGAAGCCCGGGGCAGAGCAACTCTGCCTGGGGCTTCCTGTAGTCAGCGCTGGTCAGTTTCAGCAGAAGCTGACTTGGGGACACCTGGGGCAGAGCAGCTGGGGTGCT